TGACGCGGCCGCACGCGATGACGCGCTGACCGGCCGTGGCCTCCACGTCGCAGGTTCCGCAAAGACCTGTGGGAGCGACCCGGGAGAAGGAGGGCCAAGATGGCGGAAGCGGAGGAGTCTCCAGGAGACCCGGGGACAGCATCGCCCAGGCCCCTGGTGAGCTTGGGATCTGCGACAAAAGGGACCGAGGGTGAGGCAGAGTGCCCCCTAAAGAAGTCGGGGAACGGGCTCGTGGCCTGAGAGCTGGATCCCCTTCCGCCCGGCAGGCCCTTCCTGTACCCGACGCCAGAACCAGTCCCAACGCTACACCTGTTCTTTGTGCTAACCATTTTGCCCCATGCCCTCCTGGTTCCTTCCAGGTCTTTTTGTGAAACTCCGATCTTTCCTTTCCCATCCTCCCAGGGCTCGTCATCGTCCCCTACATTGTGTTAAATGGCGAACTTTAGGTGATTTCTTAAGTTATCTTTTCTTCTGCTGTCCCCTCATTTTTATCAAAACCTGTCACCAACCTTTGTTGAAGGAATGAGAGATTGCTTCCCATGGGACATTAACGTTTTATTGCTTATAACTTTAGTATTGACTTGTTCCATGACCCCAGTAGGCCAGGTTTAACCCCTGCCATTCCTGTCGCAGCTCCTTGCCATTCTCTTCACCATACTTGTTCTCCTTTCTTATTTTTTACTTTTTTTTTTTTTTTTTTTTTAATAAATCGAGACGGTTTTATTCTGTTACCCAGGCTGGAGGGCAGTGGTGCCATCTCCGCTCACTGCAACCTCTGCCTCCCAGGCTCACGTGATCCTCCCACCTCAGCCTCCCTAGTAGCTAGGACCACAGGTGCATGCCACCACACCCGGCTAATTTTTTGTAGTTTTTGTAGAGATGGGGTTTCACCACCTGGCCCAGGCTGGTTTCCAACTCCTGGGCTAAGCAGCCCTATGGTCTCGATCTCCTGACCTCATGATCCACCCTCCTTGGCCTCCCAAAGTGCTGGGATTACAGGTGTGAGCCGCCGCGCCGGCCGGCCTGTCCT